GTGGGATTGGAAAAAAAAAAAAAAAAAGCAGGAATTTGGGAATTTTGAGCTACAACCCTGCTGGAAAACCATTCCCGAGGGGAATTCCCTGCTGTTAGTAAAGGAAAAGGCGTTAGCGGGAGGAGCGGCGGGAAGGAATTCCTGAAAAAAAACAACAACAACAACAAAAAAAGCTCTGCAAGGGTTTAAAAATAAAAATTTAAAATAAAAAAAAAAAAAAAAAAAGGCTTGGAAAAACCTCTGGAGAAAAATCTCCGGGATTGGGATTTTTTCCTTCTACTTCTGCCAGAGGCCGGGCTGTTCCAGCTGCTGCTCCAGGGGAGGGAATTTCTCGGGAAGGGAGCGCTGCTCCTGGATCTCCTGGAATTCCTGCTTTTCCTGGGAGCACGGGACGGGGTCTGGGAGTGGGATGGGGACCGGGGTCTCCTGGAATTCCTGCTTTTCTGGGATGGACACGGGGATTTCCTTGCGCTCCTGCTTTTCCTGGGAATGCGGGATGGGTTCAGGGCAGGAAACTGGGATGGGGACCGGGGTCTCCTGGAATTCCTGCTTTTCTGGGATGGACACCGGGATTTCCTGCTTTTCTGGGATGGACACCGGGATTTCCTGGCACTGCTGCTTCTCCTGGGAACACGGGACAGGGTCAGGCTGTGGATCAGGGATGGACACCGGGATTTCCTTGCATTCCTGTTTTTCTGGGATGGACACCGGGATTTCCTGGCGCTGCTGCTTCTCCTGGGCGCAGGGAACCGGGATCTCCTTGGCCTCCTGCCTCTCCAGCGCCGGTTCCTGGCGGGATTTCTCTTCCAGCGGGAATTTCGGAGGGAATTCTGCTTGCTGCTGCTCCTGGGGCGGGCACTGCGGCACCGCAGCCCCCGGATTTTCCCCTTTTCCCGGTTCCACGCCCGCCGCTGGAATCGCTTTCTCCTGGCATTTCGCCGCCGCCGGGAGCGGCTCGGGGCAAGGGGCGGGCACCGGGATTTGGGGATTTTGGGGCTCCGGGATGGGTTTTGGGGTGGTTTTACCCAGGCCGGGGGGGAGCGTCAGCTCCTGTTTGATTTGCATCTGGTTCAGAGACATTTCTGCGGGAAAACGGGATCACCTAGGGGGGAAAAAAATGGGAATTTCTTGTGGTACCGGGACGAGGGTGACGGGAAAAAAAACAACAAAAAATCAACAATAACCGCAAAAAAAAACCAACCCCGAGTTGTCATCTTCTGCCCTTGGCTTCCCGAGGTTTTTCCCTGAGGAATGGGGGTTTATTCCTCCTTTTTCATCCTGCCCTGATCCCTCCCCTCCTTTTTGAGGAGGCAGAGCCGCCCCTTTGAACCCGCGGCTGATTTCTGCTTCACAGCTCTTCCCAAATTCCCAAATCCCTGGGATTTCTGTCCTGGGGAGCTGAAAAAAAAACCCCAAAATAACAACACACACCAAAAAAAAAAGGCGAAAACCAAACATTTCAGCGCATTTTGTGCGCCAGAAAAACAAAAATATAAATGTGGGGCAAAGGGGGTGATGCGGACTGATAAACCCGAAATAATTCCCGCTTTTTAGTCCTGGATTTTCAGCTTTTCCTCGGAATTTGGAGCGGCAGAGGAGGTTTCTCCAGGCTCCGGCGAGCTGGGGGTTAAACCCGCAGGGGACAACTCCTCCCTTCGCTCCGCTCTCGGTGACAACGCCGAGGATTTGGAGCCTGGCTCGGTCCTGGGCAGGGAATTCTCATGGATAAAGCCGGGATTGTCCCCAGCCGAGCCAGGGGTTCTCCTCCCGACAATTTGGGGACAATTTGGGGACAATTTGCGGACAATTTGGGGACAATTTGGAGACAATTTGGGGACAATTTGGGGACAATTTTGCGGCTGCCGAAGGCTCGCCGGGACCCGCGGGAATTCCTGCGCTGCCGCCTTCCCAAATCCCAGCTCAGGAGTGAAAGGTGGGAATCCCAAAATCAGGGTTGGAAGGGATTTGGACTCGTCCCCGAGGAAGAGAGAGGGGAAATTCCTCCTCCCTTCCCTGCGGAGTTCCCAGCTCCTCTCACAGCCAATTCCCTCCTCTCTTCCCTTTTTGATAAGACCTTAATTACTTTATTTATGAATTAATTAAGACCTTGATCCTGACACGGATGAGGCGGCACATTTGGGGAATATTTTCATTCCTGCTCCCAAATTTGCCTTTTTCCCAGGAATTCCCGGGTGAAACGGGAGCTTTCGGAATATTTTGGCCGCAAAATCACTGGAAAAATCAAATTTGGTGCCCTTCCCTGTAGGGAGGAGATCCCTCCTTAAACCAACGGAATTCCGTCTGGTCCCGTGCCTCGGGAAGGGTCTAATTTAGGATTTAATTACCCTCAGATTTAGACTCGGTCTTAATTTGCCTCCCAGAGCCATTTCCAAGCCACCCCAACGCCCACAAATTCCCTCCTTTCCAGGAACCCTCCAGGTATCCCAAGGCACCAAATCCAGCTTTTCCTGAAGAGCTGCGGAGTCGAGGAGCAGAACCCCCAAATTTTCCCCCCAAAAATCTCGGGATTCTCAGTCCCAAATATTCCCCTAAAATCTCGAGATTCTGAATCCCCAATATCCCCCCAAAATCTTGGAATTCAAAATCCCAAATTTCCCCCCAGAACCTCGGAATTCTGAATCCCAGACCTCCCCAAAAATCTCGGAATTCCGAATCCCAAATATCCCCCCAAAATCTCAGGATGCTCAGTACCAAACCTCCCCAAAAATCTCAGGATTCTCAGTCCCGAATATCCCCCAAAAATTTGGGGATTCTCAATCCCAAACCCCTCTGAGGCATCTCTGGATTCTCAACCCCCAACCCCACTGAGAAAAAAAAATAAATCCCAGAGTTCTGAATCCCAAACCTTCCCCAAAAATCCCGGGATTCCCAATCCCAGAGCTCCCCGAGGAATCTCCGGACTCCCGGACTCACCCAGCCGGCGCCGAGGGAGCAGCGGGAGCGGAGTGGATGCGGGAGCCGGGAGATTTGGGATCTTTTATAGGGTTTGGAAGCCCTGCCTTCTGGGAATGAGTCCTCCTGGCTGATGAGCTCATTCTTTCACAAGAACCCTGCCCGGCCCGGTTTTACACGTAGGCACTTTCCAGAGAGGATTCCGAGTTCATCCCTTGGCTAATCCCGGTGAAGCGTGGAATTCCTCCCTGGATAAAGCTCCGAGCCTCAGGTGCACGGAGCTACGGAAGAGCCCGGCCAGGTTTTGGGGGCTCGGTGGGGTTTGGGGCCACCTCGACCCATCCCGGGGTTGTTCCACAGTTAAAACCTGCTCTGAGGTCTGGAATTCCTGGGATTTATTGGGAATTCCCATCCCGTGGTTGTTCCATAGCTAAAACCCACTCTGAGGTCTGGAATTCATGGGATTTATTGGGAATTCCCATCCCAACCCATCCCGGGGTTGTTCCACAGCTAAAGCCCACTCTGAGGTTTGGAATTCCAGGGATTTATTGGGAATTCCCATCCTGGGGTTGTTCCACAGCTAAAACCCGCTCTGAGGTCTGGAATTCCTGGGATTTATTGGGAATTCAGGATCATTTGTGCTTCTCCCCTCTGTTCTTTATCAGCGAACCCTCTGAAGTGGTTTTACTGGGATTGTGAAAAGCAGGGATGGGTTTTCCTGGGAAGAACTTTCCTTCAACTTTCATTTCGGTTTGGAATCACCAGGAGGGATTTCCTGGAAATTCCGGGAATTTCCTCCCGGAAAGGGCGGTCAGGGGCCGCCCAGGGAGCTTTTCCAAGGAATTCCTGGACACTCCCCAGGGCTCTGGGAAGGTGTTGA